GCGGGGGAGAGGTATCGGAAACCTCGGTTTGGCTAGCACATAAAGCGGTTATCCGAGGCCTATTCATTAAGAGAGCCGCACATCTAAAAAGACAGGGAGACCTACTCCGATGTCACGAACAAATAGCAACACTGACGGCTAGAAATAAAACCAACCCAACTAAGGTACTGGCTGCGGAACTCCAGCAGGCCTACCGTAAACTACACGCACTGAACGCAACGAAAACTGAGTACTTATTAAACAGACTGAGAGTGACTACCTATCACTCGGGTGGGAAAGCCAACAAGTACCTGGCAGCAAGACTGCGAGACAAACTGGCAACTAATAAGATAGCGCACATACTGGGGGAAGATGGGACAAAAAAGCTAGGACCCCAAGAGATTGGTGACGCGTTTGCCACATTCTATTCCAAACTGTATAACTTGAGGGACGACCCCGATACACATACCCCCACTGTAGATGAGGTAAAAGCATTTCTCGCCCGCATCAAACTGCCCCAACTATCGAGTAGCCAAATCGAAACCCTAACATGCCCCCTAACCCCTAACCCCTAACCTAAGAGTTATTAGACACTATCAAAGAGTTACCGAATGGCAAGTCCCCCGGAGCAGATGGGCTCCCTAACCTCTATTACAAAAAGTATGCCCAAACATTGGCACCACACCTGCTGGAAACCTTCCACCAGGCGATGGAGAGGGGAGCATTGCCGGCAGAAATGCTGCGGGCCACTATAGTGACTCTGCCGAAGCCCGGAAAACCGACTGATCAATGCAAAAACTTCCGCCCCATCTCCCTGCTCAACACAGACGCTAAACTGTATGCAAAAATCCTGGCAAACCGGTTCGCCCCCATACTACCCTCCCTTATCAAAGATGACCAAACAGGCTTCGTAAAAGGAAGACAAGGCCTGGACAACACTCGGAAACTGTCGGGGGTCCTCCAGCAGCTCAGGGGGGCCAGAGAGGGCGGTCTCCTGCTAGCGCTAGATGCCGAAAAGGCGTTCGACCGCCTGGGCTGGCCCTTCCTCCAAGGGGTATTGGAGGCATATGGGGTCCCGCTCCAGGTGTGCCGACAAATATTCGCACTCTATGCGAATCCTTCGGCGCAAGTGCTCCAGTCGGGATTCCTCTCCTCTCCCTTTTAGATCACAAATGGAACGAGGCAAGGGTGCCCACTCTCCCCATTGCTGTACGTCCTGGCCCTAGAACCTTTGTTGGAAGAGATCAGAGCAAATGAGGAAATCCATGGGGTTAAGATAGGCCACAAAGAGGTTAAGGTAGGAGCTTTTGCAGATGACATTCTACTCTACCTGACACATCTCCACACCACACTCCCAGCAGTTATGCAACTGATAAAGGAATATGGGAGGGTGTCCTACTACTCCCTCAATACATCCAAGACCCAAGCACTAGGCATATCCCTACCGTCCAAACTCACCACACAACTCCAACGGGAATATACGTTCGAATGGAGGTCTGATACTATCACATATCTAGGGATTACGTACACGAAGGCCCACACTGCACTATTTGCTGCAAACTATGTGGCAACATGGAACATCTGCCGTAACTTACTCAAAAAATGGTCACCACTATATCTGTCCTGGACCGAACGAATTATAACGACCAAAATGTCGATCCTCCCTAGGTTACTCTACCTGTTTCGTACCCTACCAATAGAACTCCCCAGATCCTTCCTTAAAACGGTCCAATCAGATATAAATCAATTTGTATGGAAGGGGAGCAAACCTAGAGTGGCACAGAATTTACTAAACGCACCCAAACGAGATGGGGGCCTAGCACTGCCTAACGTACACACGTATTACTATGAAACTGTTATCGCCACTGCCCTCCCACATTTCCTCCAGACACCACCACCACAGTGGGTACACCTAGAACGAGAGTTGGTGGCCCCTCACACACTGGCCGACGTGATATGGATACCAAAAAAGTATAGACCGCAATGGCCCCTAGCACCACACTCGACTACTCTACTTTTACAGCTCTGGGACAAAAATGTGACACTGTTTAGCGGCCACAAGGGGTTCTCCCTGGCAACACCGATAAAGTCTTTCACATATTGCATCCCCACTTTCCACGCCATACCATGGCAGACCCGGGGTGTCACCCACCTGACGCATCTGTACAATCAGGGCAAAATGCTTAGCTTTGAAGAGCTGCAAACCCGATACTCACTGCCTCCTACATCACACTACTCCTATATCCAACTACGGTCGTTTCTGACCAAACACTACTGTAGAGATGCTGGGCCCAATTTGACCCCAGAAACCCCAACGGTGTGGGAGTTAATGCTTATTAAGGGACTACTACCCATTGCATGTAAACCGATCTCCATGAGTTACAAGCTCCTGTCATGCCATCTACCCTTTGCTGCCTCAAAAACAGCGCAAATGTGGGAAGCGGACCTAAACTGCTCCCTCCTGAGCAAAGACTGGGAGCACATATTCCGTTTGCCCAGACTCCTGATCAAATCAGCCGCCCATCTGGAACAAAGCCATAAAACACTATATAGATGGTACATGGTACCGTGCAGGCTGCACAAACTATTTCCTGCCACTTCTAATACCTGCTGGCGCTGCAATGGGGCTGAGGGCACGGTCCTGCACGTCTGGTGGACGTGTCCCCGCATCCAGACCTTCTGGGCGGGGGTCCATAAAATTGCACAAGCGGCGTCTGGCTGCTCTATTCCTTTTGCGCCCCGTCAGATGTTGATAACCAACCTCCCGAAAGGCTTACCTAGAGCCAAACAAAAACTCCTGTTACATATAATGTTAACAGCACAGCGCGTAATTGCTCAACACTGGAAACAAACAACTACCCCTGGTATGAAACGGGTCATTGAGGACCTGGACACACAAAGAACGTTTGAAACAAGCTTCAAAACATTGTTCCCCCCATCCAACACCACTCAAGCAGCATGGGAGATGTGGAACTCATGGAGATCGGGTGATGGAGAAACGTAAATGTAACCTACCAATGATACTGTATGTACAAACCACATAAGAGCAGAAGCGCCTCGCACATCAGTGGGAAACAGCGCAAGAGGCGCGAGAATAGAGAGCGAGGATGGGACCTCTCCTGTTAACTCCCATAAGGGATCGAGTAGGGAGCACACCCACCCCACTCTGACACACAAAAGGTGCAAGACAATGTTTCTGGTCACAAACCGACTACGAGCGGTATAAGTAGCCTGAATACTCATGGTCAACCGAATGAGAGTTGTTAATATGTATTGATGAAATCTGTTCACCCTCCCCCCCCTACCCTCCCTCCTTCTTCCTTTCTGTACCCCCACCGCACGAAACAATAAAAATTGTCAAATTTAAAAAAAAAACATGGCAACATTTCATTCTTTGTGTGTTATTAGTTTAAGTAGACTGTGATTGTCTATTGTTGTGACTTAGATGATGATCAGATCACATTTTATGACCAATTTGTGCAGAAATCCATATCTTTCTAAAGGGTTCACTTACTTTTTTCTTGCAACTGTATGTATGTATGTATGTATGTATGTGCATTCATCCAAGCATTCAAACACCAGCACAACATACAAGCCCACTTCTGCAATCTAACACAAATACTACAGACACACCCCTGCATTCAAACTAAAAAATAAAATAAGAATATATACAAACACACCCCTTCGCTCAAAAACAAAATCTGTAGAATCCTATACTTACCATGGCGGTCCGCTGATCAGCATTTCCTCCAATCGAGCGGACTGTCTCCTTCAATCTTCCTGCCCGATCAGCTAGTCTCCCTGATGCCGGATGCTGTGCGCACGCTGTGGCAGAACCACTGTCTATTCGTGGATTTCCCTTTGGTATTATGTGTGTTTCCCTGTATTTTTGTATATTGTGCCCCGCTCTCCATTTGGGAGTGCTCCTACAAAAGGACATCCTTCGTCTCCCAAATGGGGACCACCCCGAGATCCCATTTGGAATGCTAGTTAGAACATTCAAGTAGAAACCACCTCTATTGACCGTAACGCATACCAGCTGTAAAGTTTAGAGCCTGTGTATAAAAGGCTCTCTACAATGTGAGTTTATTACCACTCACCCCTATTACTATATGTTACGGTTGCCTCCAGCTGGCTGGTAGTTGGATTGCTTGGATATCCTGGTTCCCGAACTTGGAAAGTGAGAGTGGCGCTCCGATCAGCATACAATATTAATTCCTGTAAATGTAGAACATCCCACTAGCTGTAGCAGAGCTAGGATACACCTTTCCCTACAACACGAGTCGAGGCTGAGAGTTGAGGGTAAAACGAATTGGTTTAATGTCTGTATGGCTTTTGTGTCTTTCTGTCTGAACAGATGCTACAACCGGCACCTCAGCGGTATTTGTGCAAACCAGTAGCTGATAATAGTTGCAGGGGTTTTACGATCAAGTCCCGCTGACAAGATGCCCGCAGCCTCGTGTTCGTCATACGAGCGGCGACCACCTTGGGATAAGTGATTATCTTGCAGTTAACCACAGAAACCGCAGTTTAAATGGAGACACATGCCAGAG